GGGGGGGGGGGTGAGTACATTTACTAGGCATTAACATGCGTCACCTTACAATCATGGCAATATTAACTTTTAAGCTGCCTGAAAGCAGCCTCAGGTGAGCTCTGAGTGTGTATGTGCATAGATACCTTTCCCTTACGCCACCCCTAAGTTAAAAAACAACAACAAAAAACAGAAAAATTATAATCATTATAAACAGCATTTGTGTAGCTCAAAGTCCCGCCCAACAGTAAGCTCTGTTCGTTTTACAATCTATATTATTCCCCCGGCAGACCTGAGAGCATTCTGAAACAATCTCAACTTCTTGGGAAGCATACAGTACACGCTGCCTGTTTTAAAGGCGCTAAAAGCATACTGACAAGATCTTTCGTTGTATATCACCGAGTAAACATTCCCACTTGGGTGAAGTAAGGACAATCCATGTGTATGAGTGTATGGCGTCTTTACCAAGGACACAACGTCGGGCCTCTAATACGAGGTGGTCATTGCGGATAGGATCAGGTCGGGGGCGATCGCCCCACTCGTAGACAAACACGTTTGTTTTTTGAGTCGGCGAGCTGTGCCACGATAGCTGCTTTGCGCCCTCAATCTGGCTAGCAAACTGCGCCTACTAGACCCGATCCCGCAATGAGCACCTCGTATAAGGCTCGAATCTCCGAACTCACAACCTCAAGATTACGAGTCGACTAGACTACCGACGCCACACTACATAATTATACTGTTATCAACAAACGGGGCTTGGCAACTTCCCGCCCAAAGGTGTTAAGTGGGATTTGCCGTGCTCATGGAAGACATTACTCCCGAGAGGTCTGATTTGTCCGCACAGAGGAGCTATTGTCTGCAGGCCCTGGCAACCGACAGTTAGGGTTGTGTGTGTGCCTGAAAACGCACGCCATAAATTATTTGCGAAAACTACTACTTAGACTACTTGTGTGCCGGTGCTATAAAGACGTATGCTATAAAAGTTATCGCGAAAACTACTAGATCTAAACTGATTGTGCTCCAGTTCAATAAAAACGTATGCGATAAATTAGCACCGAGTTTTACCATTAGGAGTACCCTTGTGACAGTTTGCCCCCCCCCTCCCTCCCTCCTCCTCCACCACTTTCTCTCTTGACAGACATCTCTAGGTAGTTGACAGACATCTATAGTTAGTCGACAGACGATGGTGATGATAGCGATGATGATTATTAGCAATATTACATCGAATTAACACATCTAAGCTATCCACAAAAACCAAAAAGCTGTATGTTTTTCCCATTCTCTTTCCCAGCTCTTGAGATCACGGGCGAGAACTTGGAGGATCTACTGGCCTACGATGACCTGTTCCTGGACTACTTCAATCACTTCCTGGCTCTGCCGGTAAGATAGTGGGGGAATTGTTACATCATACACTCTCCACACATTCCCCGCACGCTCCACCCCCTCCCCCCTTTTGCTCATTCCCATACACTCTCCACACACTTCCCACACACTTCCTACACACGTGCCACACTCTCACCAAACACTCCCTACTTACACACCCCTCACCCGCTCATCCTTTAAATCATGTGTTTATCCAAACATAAAGAGTCATTATTTTCTTTCCATTAAATGCCAAATGTTTATCCACACATTGACGGGTGTTTTGGTGTGGTCTGCTTCTTTTTTCATCTACTGTCCTTATCTCGGCTCTTACAGACTTCAGCATAAGTTAAGGACCACCTTGACAGACTGCCTTGATTTTTTTTTAAACTACGAAAAAAAAAAAGACAGCAAGGAATGTTTAAAAAAATTTTGCTCTGAAGTGAAAGCGTTAATGGGTTACCAAAGCGTACTACAAAGCTTCCTAAAGGAGCAAAACCACCATGTGCAGCACGGAAATCCTCGGGGAATTTTAGCCAAGTTTACTGTTTTTTATCGACTTGTGTGCAACACCACGGACATTCCTCTGTGAAAATTTCTGATGCACGTCATAAACGGACGTACGGTCTGGAACTGTGCTCACTTTGGTGGCAGTATAAGCCGCCGTTTGTGCAAAATCCAGTAGCGCATCAACATACCACCAAGACGAAAGCTGAGAGACTTTGTTCGTGCCAGAGCTAAGGCATGGCTGCAGGAAGCAGTTGGAGCCCGAGAAGTTGCCAGAAGGCTTGCAGTGTCACACTCTGTCATTGTCCGCTTGAGACAGCGTCATCAAGTCACTGGGTCAGTCCAAGAACGCCCACGTGCAGGTCGACCCAAGAAGGCCACTCCGAGTGTTTGCAAGTGGTCCTTAACTTATGTTGTAGTCTGTATATGACCTACTCGTGTATCAAGTGCCGTACAACTCTTACTGAAAACAAAATAAAAAACTAAAAGATAAAGAATCGATACTTCCTTCCTTCAATAAATCTTTATAAACAGCCGAAAAGTTTCTTCATTCTAGTGTTTACACAAACATAAATAGACGACACTTTCTTTCCTTCAGTTGTTAATCCAAACACTACTAGCGGACACTTTCTTTCCTGCAAGTGTTTATCCAAAAATTTAATAGCCAACATTTTCTTTCCAACATATTTTTATTAAAAGATAAATAGCCTACACTTTCTTTCCATGTAGAGTTCCCCTTCTTTGTATGTGTTACTCTCTAGTAAAAGTGCAACACCTCTAATCTTTGGCACTTTTATGACCTATTTGCGTTGCATATACCGCAAACCTCTTACTTAAACCAAAACAACAACAACGACAACAACAACAACAACAACATCAACAAAATAGAACCTAAAACTTAAAAGGCTGACACCTTCTACAGGTGTTCCCGCAAGCTTTGCTGTATAACCGGCTGACGGGGGCGTTCGATGAGGTGGAAGGTCTGAGACCAGAGGCTTTGGGTACACTCCCGACCATCAGCCCGTCCCTGCAGTATGGCCCCACGGACGCCGAGAGGGAGAGGATGCTGGAGTGGGCGAGAGAGGAGAGACTGCCCTTGTTCTTACGGTAAGGGAAATATTGTGTGTCTGTTCTGTCTTTTTCTCTTTTTTATAGTAGAGGTTTTACGGCGCTCACAACTGCATAAGGTCATGTGAGTGCCAAATGTGTGTCTGTCTGTAGGTCTACCTTTTGTACAAGTGGGAGGTACATTGTTGTATCTTTCGTACAAGGGAGAGGTAAATTACGGATAACAATGACGTTGATGACGACATGCTTTTTTTTTGGTTTCCTTAATGGGCTTGACGGACTCCACAAAGAAATCTTTGAGCGAGAGCGAGGCTCTTTTTCGGCTCCATTGTCAATATGCTTAGCGGCACCTCCACTCGTCCAAATAACTCCATTCGAATTGCCATGATGATGCTGATAATGATGATGATGCTGATGATGATGCTGATGATGATGATGATGATGATGATGATGATATTGAAGACGATAATATGATCAGCAGCATTATAAAAGTTGACAGATGGACACATCTCAGTGATGAATAAAACAAAACCTTGCGTTTTTTCCCCACGCCCTATCTTTTGTGCATGTGTTAGGTACATTGATGTACCTTTAATTTTATGTGGGAGGTAAATTGTTGTATATATTTTCCGCGTGCGAGTTAAATTGTTGTAGGCTTATATTTCGTACTTGTGGGAGATAAATAGTTGCATTTTTTTGTACAAGTGTGGAGTATTTATAAATACATTTTTCACGTTGGAGGTAAATTATAGCGTCTTTTGTACAAGCCCCCCCCTCCCGACCCCCACTCCACCTTTCTAAATCTGTTGCGCATTTCACCGCTCCCCTCCCAGTTTCCCAGGACTCAGCTGATCTAT